TTTTTTTTTTTTTTTTTTTTTTTTTTTTTTTTTTTTTTTTTTTTTTTTTTTTTTTTTAATATTCAGTTGTTTTTTCACATAGTGCGAGAGATTTTTTAAAGGAATGGATCTTTATTTGAGAGAAGAAATATTTAGTCATAGGAGCAGATTTTCCAAACTACATATTTTAGAAGAAGTGTCTCCATTTATAAGGCTAGTGCATTTAAAAATTGAAAAGTCCCGGATGTTGTTCTTTGAAAAATATTTACATTCTAAGAAGAAGAACTTTTATGATCTTTCTTTTTGAGAACAGTTACTTATTTATACAGTTAAATATCATTTACAATTTTTCTGTCGTTTATTGAACTAATAAACGGTAATAAAGCAAGCATCAAAGTGTCAGGTTCTCTAAAACATAAAACATTTTACCTGTAAGAATAAACTTTACCAATCAGGCCCTCAGCATTTTTCCTAATGCAAAACCTCTCCATACTTCAGCAACTCTCATATCAAATGCTACCTCATTTTAGCCTAATGAGACTCTTCTTCTGCCAAGTTTTTCCCTGTTCAGTGAGGTTTTATACAACACAAATTGCTACTTCTTTTTAAAAGCCCCAGTGATCACAAACTAGGGCTGTAGCACAGAAGCTTATTCTTAATGCAGATGGATAAAATATCATGATTTATGGAGAGAAGATCAGTCTCCTTAAAGGTCCGAATATCTTCCATAAAACTAGCCAGGAGCTCTACAAAATACACAGCTAAACCAAAATTGAAAATGTGTCCAGAAAGAATCCATATGCGTCTAGCTCTCACCATGCTATTATAAAGTCTGGTTTGTTTTGTTTTGTTTTGGCACTGTGCATCTGGAAAGGGATGTCTTCAGCCATCAGGTCCACCCCTCTGCTATCACAGGCATCACGTAATATCCTGGCATAAACACATACGCTGGCGTAAACATTCACAAGTCAGCAGTGTGCCCCCCAAAATCACCTTGCTGCAGAAGCATTTCTCTGAGTGGCAGTTTTCCCTTTGGGGTGTCCCTGCTGCACAAAGCAGTCGTGGTTCTGGTGCCCCTTAAGGCCCTGTGATACCTCCTGAGATGGCTTAGCAAGAAATGGGATGTTTGCTGTGGATAGTACCCAGGTCTTACCCATCCTTCAGCCTGTCTGTCTGCCTCCTGGTCCAACCACACAGGACTGAAGTAATTCAAGCAAAGATTATGGAGGAGGTTTTTAGTTACTTCCTGGCAGCAGCAGGAAATGATAAATCATCTTAAAAAAAAAAAAAAAAAAAAAAAAAGCAACCTGAACTAGCAGCTCTGGAAACACACGCCCCTTTTTATAGAGACTCCATCTTCCATGTAATTCTTTACTGTTTCTCCACTCAATGGCTTGTACAACCGCAAATGTCAGCATTTCCTTACTCCTTACAGGAAACATGATCACATACGCTGAGCTGCGCGTGAAGCCGAAACCCAAAGGGACCAGCAGATCAGAGACTTCCGCTGCTGGTAGTGTGCTATTTAATTTGGTTGTTGGTTACTAATTATAGATTTAGTCTTTCCTATTACCCAAAAGTAGGACCTGTTTTCAAGAGTCTCTATGTGCAATCTCTCAATAAAGAACTGATTTGCCATTTCACTGTTTCCCCCCCCACACACACACACACACTGGGTTATCCAATTGTACGCTTTCCTTGTAAAAATGGTATTGAAAGAGATTTTTAAAATAATTTGAATAAAAATGCCTTTGTGCCCTATATTGAAAATTTGGCAAAGGAGAGTAAGATTTCACATTTTTTTAGGAACCCTCCTGTAAGTGTCTCTGCAGGAACAGTCACAGGCTCACATTTGGTTTTGGAAAGAGCAAAACACCCACAGAACTCTGTGAGCTGAAAGGGAACACCAAAAATACAGCTTGTGCAGCTGGAGAATGGGGTGGTTGCTCATCTCACGCAGGCAAGCCCCAGAAAACAGCAGTTATGAAAGTGCAACTCTGTGGCTTGTGGAAATGGCAACTTGAAACCAAATTTCCTCGGGTCCTGCCTCTTCCTGAGTGTTTCACTTTCACAAGCTGATGAGTGCCAAACAGCTGGAGAGATGCTTGGTCAGATGTACGTCACTGTGCTATGGTGTCAGTATAGGATTTTTTGCCTTTTGTGCAAAAGGTGCATTTAGGTGAGTTAGCTTTCTGTCACGACAGGCACGTTAACACAGGAGAGAGTGACCAGAGGGGAGGAACGTACCACAGACCATCCCTGATACATCCCCTGAATTGCTCTGCAGGGTCTTGAAGGGTGTGGGTGGGTAGGTGGGATGAGGCAACTCTTGAAAATATTAACTCAAAGGAGAAAGAGAGAATTCTTAATGGAATGACTGGTTGAAAATCACTTGCGCTATCTGACAAAAATGATCTTTCGATTTCACTTCCAGGTATGCAAAATGAATGCAAATTTTTAATAAGTAAAATGTCCCCACATACTTCAGACAGCAGACTAATTTTAGGCAGATGATTTCTCTGTTGTTTCCACTAAGAAACTGGCGCACATAAAGGCAGGGTTAATTTGAATAGTGCAAAAACTTTAAGCTGCTCTTCCTCCTGCCTCCCTCCAGGCTGCCGACATGGGTGCTCAGCCTGGTTCTACATGACACTGGTCCTGGGAGTCCTTGTGCTCATCCTGCTGGGCATCGTAGCCATACTAGCCAAGCAATGTGAGTAGATCCTACCATCTGCTTCATCTTTTTGTTGCAGACACGCTTAAACTTCACAAGCAGAGTCATGCCTAAAGAAAAAATCCCTTAGTGTAGCATTAAAGGTGCCAAGTTATACACAAATACAGGAAAATAAGTGCAGCATTCCAAAGGGAACATTTGCTACCTGTCATTTAACATATATAGTGCGGATGAAGGGGAGTTGCTGCAGTTTACCTTGTCATCAGTGATGCTGAAAGGCTGTAGAGGCAGATTTCAAATCATTATGACAATCAAAACATTTGGCCTTCCTGACTTACAAGTTAAAAGTTGCATCCATGATGCTACTTTGAGACCGTTTCACTTAATTACTTTATAGGTTTGAACAAATAAAATAAAAATCAGACTTCAGGTCATTTCATTTAATCAGACTTCCCTGGTACTACTAATATCATAATCCATGGCATGTTCCAGTTATACAAGAACTGTTACAGAGAAGAAACTAATTTTCCGAAGAGAAAAGCCTTGAAAAATTTCAGAAAAAACATGTACTTCCCAACCCTCCCTAAAATCTCACCAAAATATTCTGTATTCTTTATATATTCAACTATCAAAAATTAAAAAAAAACTTATTTTCTTTTCCTGTACTGTCCATATTATTCAGCAGCTACACCCTTTGGCAGTTTTACTCACTGAGTATGCTCACAACTGAGAGTGTATAAGCCCCAATGCATACACACATGTACATCCCCTCACATTCACACTGGGTACTTTTTTTTTTTTTTTTTGGTTTAAGTTTTGAAGGGCAGAGCAGGAAAATCTGAAAGTTTGTCCCTGTATGATCTAAATAGCACCGGCAATCACGTTTCTTCAGAGAAGACCGTCTCAGCGGGGGTCCTGAGATGGCTGGTGGAGGAACTGTGTGAAGATGGACAAGGTGAGGCAAGTTAGTCCTTTCACAGCATAGAGGACGTGTTGTGTGCACAGTTTTGTTGTCTCTGTTCCCATTTCTACGACACCCTGCAGCTTATGGGAACTCACCGGTACTACCCAGGGAGCATGGAGTTTCTTCATAGAAGTGATGACAAGATCTAAACTAACATTTTGATCACAATAGTTTTGCTACTCTTTCGGTAATAATAGTTTCAGTATTTTACAGTTCCTTCTGCCAGGAACTGCTGTCAGAAATTGCATCTATTGTAGATCCACCCCTTGTCCCAGAGAGCACTTTCCAGACAATAATTGTTCACAAAAAGTGTGAGGGGATTTAGCTTTCCTGTCCTGTTGCATGCATCAGGCAGGAGAAGACCTTCCTGGTCTTTTTACCGTGGATCTATTATTGTTGGCAAACACTAATGCTTTTCTAAGGACTTTTTGTAACGATGTTACTTTGAAACATTAGAGGAAGCCGAGACAGAAAATGTGGGGGACGTTCCTCCCAGATGCTCTACGTGAAATGGGAAGCAGACCTGGGAAAAGCAGTGTTCCCCTTATTTAACACAGTTCCCTCAGCTCCGTGGTCACAGTTCGGATATCACTGAAGTGCCTGTGCTTTCCAGCCACACCACGTGTCAAATCCACATGCTCTGCGTCACGTCACATCGCACGGCGTCTCCTCACAAAGGCTGCATGTGGGAGGATGAAAAGTGTCTTTTCAGCCCTCCAGGTCCTCCTGGAGCTCTCTGCAGGGCAGGCGTGTGGGGATCCCCGTGATGTGCAGAAGTGGAGAGCACCACGGCAAGGGAGTGGGAGGCTGAGGAGGGGCACACTCAGCAAACATGTCTGGGAGTGGGGACTGGCCGCTTTTGGACCAGCCAGGCAGGCACACGAACATAAAACACTACAAGGCAGCTGGAACAAGTCACGGTACGAGCTAACGGTTCCCTCTCTCCACCCACAGGAACAGTATGTGAGTTGTGTCCCCCTGGGTGGCAGCTACACAGGGGGAGATGTTACTACTTCTCCGAGGAGGCTGTAAGCTGGGATGACAGCCAGAGAAACTGTCTGGCCAGGAAATCCCAGCTTCTTGTCATTGAAGATGAAATTGAGATGGTGAGTCTTGCAGCAGCCTGAAAACTGTGTGACAGGCATCTGCCTGGGCCAACCATTGCTGCCCATGGCCAGGTGTACCTGCAGGCAAGCCAGAGACCCATCAATTGCAGAGCATCCTACTCCCCAGACAAGAGCTTCTTTCAAGAGTGTCCACAGGGCAGAGCTGAAGAGGAGGAGCATAGGAGATGCAGGTGGGGAAGCCAGAGTAGTTTTGACTGGGAGGAGGAAATGCTGGGGCCTTCCCACCCATTCCCATTACTTGGGTCTGGGAAGGGAAGTCTGATTCAACCACTAAATGGAAATTCAAAGAGACAGACCTCCTTCTCATTTCCTTTGGGAAAATGAATAGCAAGGTATCATCAAATGGCTCTTCTGAGAAACTCATCATTCCCCAAGGAATGGGTCTTTTATCTTAAAGACCAGGCTTTGCAACTTGGTTTGTTAGGGTGAGGAGTATCGCTGAGGTTTTTTTTCTTGACAGCTGTCAGGCAGCTAGTCAGCCTTGAGCACCGGCCTGAACTGAAACTCCGTGGCTGTCACACATGTATGGGCTGGTGTAACGGGCTGCTTCGCCCTGGCTGCGTCCCTGCCCTTGTTCTCCACGTGATGGACTACCTGAAAAGTAGTGCATGAGACAGGACAGTGACCTGAGCACAGTAGTAAGCTCTGCTGTTCAGTAACATGCTTCTACTTGTTCCACAGGAGTTTATAGACAATAAAGAGAAAGATACTAAGTATATCTGGATTCAGTTGAAGATTCAAGACATGAAGAAACAATGGAGTTCAGTGGAAGATCCCAGAGTAAAAATAAACAGGTGATGATCTGCAGGGGGAGGGTGTCTTCAGGAATAGCAAAGGTATGGTGCTCTTCACGGAAATACAATTCTGAATCCAAGCTCATTTCCCAAAGCACAGATCTAGTCCTCGGGCACCTATTGAGGGTCTACTTCACGGCCATCTCCAGGTTAACTGGTTCCTGCTGGGCACCTTTGGAAACCGTTTTGTTTTTGGCCTGTAAGACCAACTACAGTCACAGTTCATGTATGTACTAATGCAGAGGGACATTAATATACACTTCTCCCACTTTCAACAAACTCTCACTTTACACACCATGTGTTGACCGCCTCTGTTGAACGTGACACAGGTTGCATAGCGTGGGTGCTGGGATCTGTGCAACTGAAGGGTCCTTCCCCTCCCTCTTACCATTACAGTTCATCATCGTGGCTGCATGTGGAGGTTTTCTCATCCTTCTTACACTAATGTTCCTGAGCACCCATCCCTCAGCAGGCAGCATTCTCTCCTGTGGGTGCCCATCCCACCTACGTGTGGCTGTTGAAGAACAGTGGGTTATCGAAGGGGCATCACGCAATCCCACCACTCAGGATATTATCAATATTCTTATCCAGTACTGAATTTAAAGCTGACAACTCACTGAATTCCTTTTGTTCTCTCACCAGGGTAACTATAAATAGAATTGAGACTGACAAGAATTGTGCTGTCTACAGAAGAAAAAACATATTCCAAGCAGATAACTGCCAGACTTTAAAGAAGTGGATCTGTAAGAAGAATGCAACTTTGTTGGTGCTCTGAGCCAAAATTCAGACAACAGGCAGAGCTTTTTGTCATGAGACCCATTTTACCGATAAAACAACATGTGATGTAAATAATTTTATGAGACTTGCACAGAAATTTGCATTTCGCTGTTCTGCGCTCCACAAGACTTTGATGCAAGCAGGGAACTTGGAGAATGCCAAGTGTCGGTGTGAAGGTCACACAACAGGACTGCAAGTCAGCACATGTGGATTTGGGGCTGCTGAGACTTCCCACTGACAGATGTTGGCAGCAGCTCTAGGAAAGAGCAGGGGAGAAGAGGTGCTCTTGCGAGGATGAGCACTGTGCCCGTGAACTGCGTGATGTGCAGGAAAGATGCCATCTGTGGTGGCTGAAGAGTGTGTTGGGGCCCACTGCTGACACACATATCCCTCAGACAGCTGCTGCTGAGCTGAGGCACCTTCTATTTGGGTTTCAATATTTTAGCGTTTCATGAAGTTTGGGGCTTTTTTGCCTTTCAGTCTAATTGTGACTTGCAGAACCTACTTGAGGTCTGGGAAAAATACATTTATTGGACAGTGTCTTATTCAGAGCTGATCTGCACAGCTACTGGGTATACATTATCAGGCAAAGCACAAAGCGGCTCATAACACTTGTGGTTAATAAGCTGATGGCTCCCATCTTCTTCCGATGCTGAACCCTGGCATCTGAAAGAAAGCTTGTAACTAGGGAAGGGGCTTGGACCGTAACACAACATTGCAGTGCAAGGAAATGAAGATGGTTGCCTGCCTTTCCACCTATATTTTGTCCCTTTACATTGAAAACTCTTTAACATGCAACCATAGTTACTGCCTGGAAGGTATGATGGTGAGGTACTGAGGCTAAAAGCTGTTGAAATTAATGCCTGTGGGTGCACTCAGTAAACACATTACTTGGGCATTCAAGTGTTACGGATACACACCATTTCAGGCTCAAAAATGCTGAGAGCAGTCTGACTTAGTGCCTTTCTTAAATTAATATATTTGGAAAAAAAAAAACCCAACCAAATATCATGAATTGATTTTTAAGAAATCAGACACGTCATTTGTTGCAGCTTTCAAAAACACTTAAGTCTAATAAAGGTAATAACTCCTCTAGATCTGTAGCTAGCATGTGTCTTTGAAGTCAGAGTCACCAAATGCAAGGCAAATGTTTGCACCATTGTTGAGATACTTCTGGTGACATGTGTTGCCACAGTGAGGAGTTACGTAATATGCAAACAGGGAAATTAAAAAAATAACACAGGGGACAATGGAAGTGTAGATGTAATAATAATTTTGCTCATCGTGTACCTTCTCTTGGGTATTGCCATGGCCCTGAGTGCTCTGATAGGTCTTAAGGATCCTCGTCAGCCTCTCCTCTTGAGACTCGTGAGATCTTCAGCCTCTACCTGAGTTTTGTCAAAGATGTACCTGCTTCCAGTCCTGTCCTATCCAGCTGGACAATTCAACTGAACCAACTTTTTCTTTGAATAAAGTATCAAACACTTCTGATGTGAAAGCTAATACTCAGAAAGCTCAGAAGCTAGTCCCCTTTCTAAACTGCGAACCTCTAGTCTCATATTCTCAGACTGTGATGCAAAGCAGCTGAGGCATTCTCATATTTACATACTGCTGACTTGCAAAGGTGTAAAATCTTCTTACAGACAGGGTTGCTTAAGTAAATTTTCATTTCACCCACCATAATTCAATTTCAGGCAGGATCTCTTAAGATGTCCCTGAAGTTAACTCTACTATGTTTTGCTTTCCACAGTAAGAAGCTGAATTCTCACCTCGTTTCATACAATTATGCAATAATTTATAGCTGACGGGACCTCAAGGCCCTTTTGGGGCCAGTTAGGGGTACATTCTAAGTTCCCAGAGTTTTACTTTAATTTTATGTACTTTTACACTAGCCAGGTGGGGTTAGCTGTGTTTGGAGAAAAAACAAAGCAAAACCTAACATTAAAATCCAAGGTGCTACTCTAACAAAAAAATAAAGTCTTTATTAGCAATGAGAGAGGGAAACAAATCTGACATGGCTTTTGAAATGTGGAACCTTTAGTTCGTCTTTGCTATGACACACATAATTAAAGGCAGTTGCAGTCTCCCAGGTACACTGTCCCATACCTGCACTAGATTTCTAGTGCCCCTCTGGAGGGTTGTGGTTAATGTCTAGCAACTTGTGATGAGTAACCAGCAGATATTCTTGCACAGGAGCTCTTGGTGTAAGGTACCACGGCTTTAGCACGCACACGACTTGCAGCTGTGGAACAAAATGCTCGTGGGCAACATGACAACACCAACAGACTGACACCCTTTCATCTACAGACACTGATGGGTAACACCTCACTTAATTATGGACAGACAGAGATGCCAGGAAGGTAGTAGGGGCGTAAAAGTGAGAGTTGAAAAGGCGTAGAGATCTTCAGTGGAAAAAGACACCAAGCACATGATGCAGTCAGCTGCGTTCCACAGGCACAGCACGATGGCTCTTTGGAAGGACTTTGGGGCTCCAGATTAAAAAGTGAACCATAACTTCAGTGTGGCTGACTTCCTTTCAGACGAAAAAACAACTCAGACTTACCCTACAGAATGCAGCATCAGCAGCTAAAGACTCATTTGAAAAACTGCAGTTACTCTCATGTTAAAAGAACAACAACAAAAAAAAAATCCCCCAAACTCAGCGCAGCACACTTGTGGGGAAGAGGATTGGTTTGTTTATTCTAGAGAAGCAACGGCAAGGAAAGAGTCTGAAATGAGTAAGATGTATCTATCTATATATTATAGATCTATTTATCTATATATTATAGATACCTCTATCTAGAATATATACATACAAATAGATTTAATTTTATAGATAACTATATATATATATAATATATAGATTTTTTTTTCTCCCATTGAGAAAATTTACATACCCTTCTCCATGCATTGGAGATGACTGCTGAATTGGTTTTTATCGCCGACGTTTCTCAAGCCATGCTGAATTTAACATGAAAAACTTGGAACTACTGAGCTGGTTTCTTTCAAATTGGTTGTGGCTTTAACAATATTTGTGAAACATCTAGTATTTTAGCATTCTTGCTATTACTAATGTAATTAAACATGTTTTTGCGGGGTCTTACTGAAGCTCTTACCTACACGGTAACCAGTTACTAAATCTTGAGTAATTCCACTGATTTAAAAAAAAAAAAAAAAGAAAAAAAATGGCCTTTGAAGTGAGTACTTCATTAAGTACTTCATTAAGCCCCGCTCTGAGTAAAGCATTTGCAGTCTGACCCTTCATTTCATAGCATGACGAACTCTGGATAATAAAGCAAATGCTAAGTGTCTGATTTAAGAGTCAGATTACAAGAGAGCTTTCATTATAACCTATGTGCTCACAGTTTCTCAAAAACCTCCTTTAAGAACAAAAATTTCCCATTTTTGTACTCTATCCACAGATGACGCTGATGGAAAAACCCCATAAGAACAACATTATTTTGTAGTTAAAGGAAACATTCTGGTAAACCATCTCATTAGGAAAAGCTAAGATACAACATGGTACGTGGATACTCCTTATCCCTTCCAATTTCGAGCATATTTGTCAAATGTACTTTTAGTATGCCCCTAATGCAAATACTTGGAAAACTGTGTAAACCTCCACGTTTCCCTCCCAAGTTACTGTACCATGTGTGTTTCATTAAGCGCGTTTCAGCATTTCCACGGAGGTACTTCAGCATTTCAGCTAAAGGCTTTTGTTAAAAAGTCTGACACATTTTGAAATGTGAAAATGTGCCAAAAGTGTTAGAAAGTGAAATGCATTCTCTTCTTGGGTCAAATGTCTTGCCTCATGCCAACCCCAACATTATGATTAAAGATCTTTTAATATTCAAAACTTGAAAATTTCATTTTGCTTCAGTCTGGTGATTTTTTTTTCCCCAAATAGTGCCCAAGATGAAAAATACTTTTAATGGCACAATATTAAGACACAAACCACTGTAATTCAGAGGCTCTGTAAAGATATTTATTATCTTTTCAGGACTATTGCACGTAACATATCCTTCAGAGCTAGTTAATTTAAAACCATTGCAGAATACAACCCCCTCCAACTAGTTACATATAAATTAACACAGATTATTAGGCTATTCATACTGTAGAGTTCTGTTACTGTGCCTATAAAGAATACAAGCAATTAAAAAAAAGTGTAGTTCAGCAAAATTAGTGATCATCTATAAATAAACATTCGAAACTCACAACTTATTAACAACATCCATACTGCATGGTCCTGTTACAGTAAAGTCCTATTGTCATAGAAAATAATGAAGGCATAAACAAGAAGCTGAACAAAACTAGACAGCAATTAAATCTGCCTAAAAATTTAAGGCTGAAGCTACAGTGCACTCTAGCGACTACTCCAAAAATGGCTCCACTTGCTCCTCCAAGAAGTCTCCTGAAGTCCATATGCCCCTCAATAGCACAGAGATCACACACCAACAATTTTCCAGACTGTAGTCTGAGCGGGGAAGTATTTTACCCTGCTACACAGGCAAATTTCCCATTCTTCCTTCTCTAGAAACCCGACAGGAATAGTCCTTCCAGGGAAATAAGCTGCTTTGCTTCCTCTGGGTCAAATGGCACTTTTAATCTTCAGGTTACCTGCTAGACATGAGTGGACAGAGTTCAGTGGCAATGAGCCCTAATTCTGTTCAGGCTCATAGCAATTCAACAGCACCGGGTGTTGCTGCTGAAAACGATACGCACACAGAAGAAAACACTCATTGTCCATCCAGATACGTACCACTTGCTCGGAAGCCCCATGCTCCACCAAGCACGGGACATGAGGAAACCATGGCAAGACGTCCTTTGCTGTTAATTCTCTTATTCTCTACCCATGATTTTGCCTGCAGCTTCACTACTACTGTTTCAGTTCAGACTTTTTCCTTATCAGTGCAGATGCTCAGGTAAATAAATGCTCTCATCTATTCTTTTTTTTTTTTTTTGATAAGGTAAGTGCTGTGGGAAGGAGAACTTGAGATGCAATGCAGCTAATAAATCCCTATAATACTGTCAGGGGAATTAAAAAAGATTAATGTAAAATAACATTAACAAAACATTGAATACAATACAGTCACACAAGATGCAACCAGGACAGCAAAATCTGCAATGATGTCTAAAACAACTTCTGCATAACCCTAACCCTGTATCTGCGAGGAACTGGCAGACCTTCAGACAGACCCACTTCACAACCCGTCCTGGTACACAGAGTTTGGCTGAGGGAAAAGCAGGACAAATACCTTCAAGTGCATACCAAAAAGGAAAAGAAAGAGCAGCTGCTTAGCATCCTACAAGAGAGGAGTTAATGGAAGAAATACTGATGGCACAACAAAAAGAAACTATGGGCTCAGCAGTAGCTAGAAGAATGGGGCAAGGAAATGACTTATCAGGATACTGAAAGCAAGTCTTTTAAATAGTATCTTAAAAAAAACAGAACTTCCTCCATGGGTGGAGAATTCTGGCTGCCAGAAAAGACATTCACCTCCAGACAGGAGCTGAGACGTGGTCCCAGAGTACAGACACAACCTGTGTGGATGTCATATTAGAGCACTAAGTGTCAGGGGCAGTGGCTTCGCCCACCTTTATCATGCTAAGCTAATATTCAAGCTACAGACCCACTTCCTGGTTAAATAACATCCAGAGACTGAGACTCCTTTTGACTCAAGATAGGCACAGTTTCCAGAGCCTATTACTTCAATCCTGTAAGGGAGAATGAAAGACACAATTACTTCAACACCCACAATCAAATAATGCAACAGAGCAAAGGGAACTACAGGGATCACAGGTTCTCTTTGTACAAAGCCTGATTTACCACAGGCAAGGCACTGCAGGAGGATGATAGCTTGTGCTTTGAAGAGAACACCACAAAGATTGCCTTTTTTCACCAGGACTTGGTCCCCAGAATACAAAATCTAGGACTTGCAGTACTCCTGCATCTTGCCTAGTGGTTGTTTAATGTGAGACACACTCTTAGAGTAGAGACTGGAATTCACATTTACCCTTCTCAAGGGTGCTGTGCTATCAAGACTGACTCCATCTCTGACTTCCACATCCTTCTACACAGCTAAAATGTTCCAGAAGCAGCTGTGGAAGAAATGCCTCTCTCATTTCCCTCTTCCTCAGAAGTGAACAGAGCACTATGGTTAACGGGGTGGGGGAAAACAGGAAGCGAACCTCCGTTTCCACACCGTAGGTGCCCCTAGGCAAGAGGTAAGGGTCTCCTTTGCCAGCTCTGTTTTCAAACATATTACAGTGTCCTGTGAATAGGCCAACCAAACTACGGTCTCTGGAAAAACCAAGGGACAAATCCCCACCAGTGTTAACATCACTCTGATAGCAACTGAGTTTAGACATCAAGACGTTTGCCCTTCTAAAGACAGGAGGGGCAGTCTGAAGCAAACACAAAGGCAGAAGTCTAAGAACATGAAGAACTTCATCACTGAAAACGAAAGCATCCGTAGATGTTTGTATCACAGGCAGGGGATAAGCGAGAGTGGGAAGGACTGCAATTTTCAACTTGAGATGCCTACATGCTGCTCACATCTTACATTAAATGTGTAAGGTCTTTATCAGATCAAGCCCTCAAGTCTTGGGGATGAACTGAATAGAGTCATGCACCACTAGTAATGTCAAAAACTTAAGAATATTTAAATTTTCCACTTTTTAAAGTTAATTTCAGACTTGTGAAATCTCAATCCTTACTACTGTCACTGGTAATTCTACCAACCCTGATGGCAGCTACCCCAGGACGAGAAGCAGCAGTCTCTGAGATCAGACAGCCACTGGTGGGAGGAACAAACTGCCCCACACCAGACACAGGGATAGAACAAAGGGCCAGGACCACAGAGCCACTCATGCAACATCAATTCACAGCTTCACCTTTCTCTCCAGCAGCCTTTTTTGTAGGCACAGTCTATAAGAAGTTTGGAAACATCTCTTAGAAGCCTCCCAAATATCTTTGCTATAAACCTCATGCAGGTCGCGTGCAGGTTTGCACTTTTACAAAATACATTCCATAATGAGGAATGTGTTATCACAATCTTCCATTCCTCTCCCCGCTGCTTTTGGTGGTCTCTTGGTTAACCTTTCATTTCACTATACTGTCTGCTACCATGAGCTCCCGTCTCATGTTGCTTCTGAGCCTGGCATTACAAATTCATCTCCTAACTTTCATCCGTCATAGTTTTAACAATGCTACTACGTGAAATCTTTATTGCATTCCATGCTCTCTCCAGTAATCCCTTCAACATCATTACAGATACTTGTTTCATGACACTGTCTTTATCTGTGTTAGTTATCCTTTCTTTCTCCTTTATAATCTAGTATCACCAGCAAAACCCTCAACATCAACTTACAGTTCATTGTCTAGTGGCTTCCCATTTACCCAAAAGAAGTCTTCATTTCTTTTATAAAGTCCAATCCACGGGTCTTGCTTTGTTATCTTCACCATAAAACTCTGTAGGAATAAACCCATATGAGAAAAGAAGTTTTGCATGTTCAGTCCAGATATTATAATACAAAGCCTTTGATTCAGGGCTAGAAACCAAAACAGTGACCTTGCTTTTCTTTCAGAAGAAACAATATTAAAAGTTAAATCTACAGAGTATTGCAGCATCTGGATCTTGTGTGATTCACATAACTGAAAGAGAACTTACAACTTGATCAGAAATCAAATGGATTAATTTTGAGATAGGATCCCTACTACAGATACTGCAGTGACAGAGATGTCAACTATGAGAATGCAAGTGTTACTACTAAATGTTAAGAACTGCTGCGGAACTGCAAATGCATCATTTTACTGTCTCTCCACAAGAAAGCCTTCAAAGAATGATAAACAGCTTTGCAGGTAATGCATTTCTTCATCACTGATATGTCTTCATCACACTGAGTTTTTATTATAAGCTAGCAAGGATTTGTGGAAGACATTTTAGAGATTAAGTTAAGGATGATCCTTGCCCCAGAGTGTGTGACAGAACTGACATCTGCATCCAGTACGCCCATTATACTGGTATCTGCGATAGGCGTGATGGATCTAGAGAGAGGCCGTTTTAAAATATCAATGTGTCTGCTATCAAGGTCTGTAATATATTATTACAGAATATATTCGCTTAGGTCTTTGTGCTAGGTGCAATCTTTCCTAATATTGTAGTATAATTCAGGAAATGATGTTCCAAGTAGTGGTTAGGATAACTATCTCCAAACTCCAAAGGTCAAGACCAACCTACCTACCAACTTAGTTGTCATTAACCTATCCTGCTAAGAGAGAACAGTTGCCTAATTTAAGATAAATAAGATGCAACAGTGTTCACCCTGATAGTTGCCCCAATGTGAGTACTTATAGCTGTGACCAGCACCAAATTTAACTCAGATAAGCATTTTCTAAAACATCAGCTGCTAAAACTGATGTTTGCACGGAGGGGAGGCACGCAGCTTGCTGCAAGCTGTGACTTGTCACAGTCTTTGCATCAGTTTTCAAGTCGCTCAGCTTAAGAGGCTTGAAGAACACACTGCTTCATTGTGCAGCTCCCTAGAAGCCCCCCCCCCCCCCTCCTTTTGTTCCCTTACCAGTTCCTGCTGATTTTCGATCACTAGGAGGGAAGCATTGTGCAAAGAACAGAAGCTCTGACTGGAGTTCCAGCTGGCTTCACTCTCCGAGAGGTAGTAGCATTTCCTCTGGAAATACAGCCAGTCTGATGGACAGAGTTCCAGGGAAGGACAGACAGGAAAATCTCTGGTTGAAGAACGGTTTACTGTGAAAAGACAAAAAAACAATCTACCTGTTTCTTCTGAAACAAAGAAATGGACTCAACAATAAAGGTTTTTTACTGTTAAGCAGGTACTCCTTATTAGCAGCACTGGGGTCACCCTGGGGATTCTCTACCATAAGGGTCCCCAAGAATTAGTAAGGGACATCAGTTTATATACACATAAATCATAGATACTCATTGGATTTCCTAGAAAGGGGTGTCTTGTGATAATGAGTTCTCAGAATTCATTTACATAGTCCGGAACCATGTAGTGAAAATAGGCTGAGGGTCTCCGGTGGTTGAGGGAAGAAGTAAGTAGTCTTCTTCACAGTGTTCACTAGTTGACCTTCTTTCCAGAGCGTGCGCTGTGAAGTAAAGTCCAGATGCCTCCTTCCTAAATCAGCAGAATCATCCTCCCTGTAACAGGGTCTCTGTGTCTCTTTGTTCAAGACCTCCCTTATCTTAATTTTCCCTTCCTAGGCGTTGCCCAAGAATCCACTGAAGGCTTTGAGTCTGCTGTCGATTTACGTAGGGAGCCTAACGAGCATTTCAATCTTACCTAAACAGACAAAGAGACCTCAGGAAACAGTGAAGGAGTCAGGAGTCCTTGAGAAACAAATGAAGCAAAACACAAGCAAAGCTTTGAAACAAACAAAGCAAAGTACAAGCAAAGCTTTCATACATCACATCACAGTTCGGTCTTAATAATTGTCAGAATTGCATTTGTTTGAGCCCTGTCATTCCCTTTCACTTCCAACTGGAAAGGTTTTTTGGAGCTTTTTAGCTTGCTTTCTGACTGCATCATCTAAATCATCCAAGTCTAACCATAGCGTTATTACTTCTGCTCAGCAGAAACAGCTATTGTAAACGAATCATACACTCTGGCTCCTGCAGCCTTATGGTTGCTGGCCTACCTTTAAAGTGATGATCAGGGGCAGGTTGAAGAAGTAGCTGAGAAGGTGATAATAACATACCTTCCAAGGACTATTCTACAACTTCAGTATTTCTGACAACTTAGAGTTTTTGAGAGTGCTTCTTCCTTACAGCTGAATTACTAGCTTTGTTTATTATAGTTTCATTTTTTGAGGGACTACAGATTGGTTGCAAAGAACAATCTTCCATTTGTTATTTGTTTTCTTGAACTTGGATTAAGACCAACAGTGAGGTTATAAACTTAGTACACTAAGACTAAACTGAGCACTCCCTAACCTCACTGCAACTGGTAATTTCTCTAGCACTTGACCACTATTTTAAACAATGTAATGAGACATCTATTTAACCCTGAGATAAGGGAGGTTCTGAATAAATCTTTTGAAGTTTTGCGGGACTTCTGACAGCCTAAAACTGGTGATTTCTAAGGCTAATTATATTTTCTTTTTAAATGGTTTACACACTTACCAAGCTGAATACACAAAATCAAAATGACAGCGGCAGCAAGGACGCCAGCAACACCTCGCCATAACCAGATGTTTGAGAATAGACCTGAAAAAATAAATGTCAGGAATTAAAAAAAAAAAATACTCACAAACCCATAACCAGCTGACAGGGGAGTAGAGCCTGGGACCGTGGAAGCTGTTCCCAGAAATAGTCACTCTCTGTGGAGAGCAGAGCGAAGACTGGGAAGTTCAGCTTGTCATCACAAAGCTACTTAGCGAAGAACTTGGAATTACTCTGAATTTTAATCAGATCATCCAGAACTTAAACCTAATAGCGAGGTAGTTCCCAACACTCCAAAGTGATCGAAAAAGAAAGAAATGAGCGTGGAACAAATGAGGGTGGACGGTAACTCCGCGGTTGACCTGAGGCCGAAGGATGGCGCGGGTAAGAGAAGTAAGTCATCAGCTTGAGAGCCCAGAACTTCTGCCACCTCCCTTCCAGGAGCCAGCAGCGGGCTGGGTTCGGGGGTGGGAAGGACCCACCGACCCGCGGGTCTCGTGTCCCACTTGGCGGGCAGCGGCAGGGGACGAGGAGCCCCCCCGCCCCGAAAGCTGCAAAGGGAGGGTCCCCTCTCATCTGCCCGCACAGGGCTCCGTCCCCGCAGCCTCCCACCCCTGCGAGGCGCCACGGCACACGGGTGGGGGCTATGCAGCCTCCACGCACAAGGTGAGCCCGCTCCCCACGCCGGCGCCCCCCCGCTGCCCGGCCCCTCCGGGCGTTTCTCGCGTGGGTCCCGCCGCCCCCCCCC